CATCCATCCACACATCTATCCATTTATCCACCCATCCATCAACCCATCCATCCAACCATATATCATCTATCCATCCATCCACACATCTATCCATTCATCTGCCCATCCATCCACCCATCCAACCACCTATATAGCATCTATCTATCCATCCACACATCTATCCATTCATCCACCCATATATCATCCACCCATCCATCCACCCAACTGTCTATCCATCCACCCAGCAATTCATACATATAGCCGTCCATCCATCCTTCCCTTCATCCACCCATATGTCCATATATCCATCCATATATCTATCCATTCATCCTCCCATCCACCAATCTATCCATCCATCCATTCACACATATATCCATTTATCCATCCATCCACCCACCAATCCAATCAGATATCCATCCATTTATCCCTCCACCCACACTTCTATCCATTTGTCCATTCATGCAATATCCCCTGAGCGTGCTCTGTGCCAGGTCTTTGTGCTGCACATGGGAGCCTCAAACATGAATCACCCTACACCGGTCCTGTCCCCAAAGAGGGGTCAAATGACTGGGGAAGACAAGAGCCACAAGGAGAAGCATTCAGGGAGGCACAGGCATCCTGGGACCGAGGGAAGTACCGAGAACAGAAGCCCACGCCTCTTCTCAAGGCTGCAGGACTGAGCCAGCTGGACAGAGGCCCGGATGGATATAGACAAGGGCAGGGCCCTGGCAGGTGCAGAGGAAGCAAATGCCCCTAGGACAGTGTCATGGCACCTGGCAGGTGCTGTCAAGGGAGGAGATCGAGAAGGTGACAGTGGGAGCCCCTGACCAGAGGAATGACCCCGCCAGGATGGGGTTTGAGGGCAATATGACCCTTCTGGCTACAACTGTGCTCCACCTCCCCCTGACTCCAGAAAGAAGCTTTTCCAAGGAAGAAGCGGGCAAAGGGGCCTCCAGACTCCCGACAGAGCCCTGCAACCTCAGGCTCGTTTGCAGAGACGAGGCAGTGTACAGAGTTTGCGTCTAACCCACAGGACCTCTTCTCCGGTTCTGAAGGTAAATGCCACAAAAGGGACCAGAGAAGAGACTCTGCCCACTTCAGGGTAGAGCTGACTACCCCATCCTTTAACTCCTAGGACCAGTGGTCTGACCAGCGCTGACCACCTCCTTGGTTGCTGGCTGCGCCAAATGCACACAGCACCCGACTCTTCCCCTTCCCGAGACCTCCTAATCACCTGCTCTCTGGTCCCTGCCTCCTGGCCCTAGGTCTTCAGAAAGGTCCAGGGAGGGAGCGAGGATGCTGAGGCCCCAGTCGTGTAAGCTGGGCTCCTGCTCCAAGCCCCTAACTGCAGCAACACTGCACTGTGCTCCCTGAGAGAAAAGACCCTCCGATCTGGCCCTCACAGTCTCTGCAAGAGGGTCTTCCTGCTGCAAAGCTCAGCATACTACCTAGGCAAAAGGGTCAACCACAGTCAAACCCCCACCTTCCTGAGACACTGTCCTCCTTGTTGAGGGTGCTGTGAGGCCGCCCTGGAACCTGTATGCATCTGTTCACAGCAGGAGAGGGAGTCTGAGCTGTCACCATATGGACCTCGTGGGCAGAGCATTCATTACCAGAAAAAGGGAAAGGAAGACTGTTAGGGATTGAAGAGTGAGGAAACCCTCACTGTGGCCCACTTTGGAAAGAGAGTTCTCTTTTGTTATGCTAATATGGTCATGTTGGATTAGGTGGGTCCCAAACCTCATCACTTCTGAGTTATAAAAAAGCCAGAATAGGCGGAGACATACACTTGGGGGTAAAGACAGACGCCATGTAACATTGGCTACAAGCCAAGGATCGTGGGACATTACCAAGAACTAGGAAAGCAACCACAAAGGCATCCACACAGCTCAGAGCATGATCTGGACTTTTTGCCTCTAGAAATTGTTCTTAAGTGCCATCACATGGGTTCCAACCCATAGTGACCCTGTATAGGGTTTTCATGAAGCAACTGGTGAGCTTGAACTGCCAACCATGATGCAATTCAACACACCTCAGCAGTCCAGCCCATTAACCCACAATGCCACACAGAACTATGAGACAGTAAATCCCTGGGTGATGGAGAGGCTGAGGGATGGCCCCAGGCCACACATCATGGCTCTGAGCTACTCCTCCTACTGTGTGGACTCACTGCCCATCAAGGTTTCCCTGGAAACGTGGTGGGAATGACAATGGTCACCATCACCCCAACAGACAAGTAGGAAGGGAGTCCAGTGACCTCCGGGGGGGTGGACTCGAGCTCAAGATATGCACACATGTTCACACAACAGCACCACCCAACATGCCCCCCGACTGCATCCCGTGCCCACTGAGGAACAGTTATCTACTCTTTAGCTAGATAAGGGCCAATGTGGACCCCTGACTGGACATCTGCTCCAGCACTCATGGCTTAAATCATATAAGTCCTCATAATCATAGCCAGGCCCCCCACCCAGACAGAGGGACCACTGCCCGCACTGTACAGAGAGGGCAAGCCTCCTACCCGAGGTCACACAGCAACAAGGAACAGGACGTGGTGAGATCAACTTGGGTGCCCACAGGTCAGCTGCATCCCAGCACACACCTCAGCACCCCGTCTCCCTGAGAATGGTCCCTCACTTTAGTCAGAACACCAGGTGGTAGGCAGCTAAGTGAGGGGGTTATTGGGGAGCCTGCAGAGAAGGGTCTCTCCTCAAGGAGTTCAGTCATGTCTACTTAATTGTTCCTTCTGTCCCACCCAACTGACCCTGGGCACCATCATGAAGAGCAGCCTCCAGGGGATGGGGGTGAGGGGGACAGGGACATCACTCTCTACCTTACATCCCTGTGGCCAAGATCTGCTTGAGGGAAAACCACACACACGCAGGATACTCCCCAACCAATACAAAGTTCTGGGAGAAACTGGAGAGAGCCAGCCACGGGGTTTGGTGGTCTTCAAGCACCACAAAGAAAGCAGCATGAGAACTTGAATAGGAAATTCTCCAGACGGGCAAGAGATGGGGAAACCCTGCGTGTGAACCCACGTCTAGGTACACAGAGGTGTCAATGAGAAAAAACACAAGGGGAGAGGTAGGCCAGGCTCTCTCCCAGAATCATGGGTAGCGGGAACCTCAGATGGCTCTTGAAGGAGTAAAGCTGGACGTGCTCAGTCACTGGACCCCCACTGTGACCCCGGGGGGGGGGGGCGCTTTCTTGGTATGAAGAGACACAAGAGTTGCCCCTACTCTGGAGCAAACATGTTCAGCAGTCATAAAGAGCAGACGCCACAGAACCCCCAACTTGCCAACCACTCGTCAGCCCCCACGGGGTGTGTTAAACGGGGGCTTCTCCTGAGCGGCGCCCAACTCCCCAGACCTGACCTCCCACCACCACCACTTTCTCAACGAGACTAAAGGCGTTCACCAACCTGCTCAGAGCTCGAAACCAACGTCAGCCCTTCCCATGGCCTGGCCCCTTTGAAAGCCGAGACAGGGTGGAAAGGAGAAGTCAGCCCTGCCCCACCCTACCCCGCCCCCGTCCACCTGGTCCGGTGTGGGAGACAGAGGCCAGCAGAGGGTGCCCGCGCTGTCATGACTCTGCCCAGCTCAGGAGGTGCCGGCAGCTTCCCCTGACCTTGGTGTGGAAGGAGCGGAGCTGACCAGATGAGGAGGCCATTCCCAGATAGGGACTATCACGTACAGAGGCCAAGGACAGTGGGTGTGAGTGCGTGGACTGGGCAGCCACACTGGGCCAGCGGATGGATACAATATTGCTGAAGCTCACAGAGCCTGCCGGGGTAGAGCCCAGACCGGCCATGGATAGAGAATGGATCGCGGACGAAGGTGCGCGCGCGCTGACACAGGCCAGGGAGAACCCAGAGACCACCGGCCCAGTGAGTCCAGGGCGCCGAGGCAGCCAGAAGCCTGGTACCTGCCTTTCTCCCCGTGGTCACTGCCTCCTCCCTGTCACCACGTGGGCGGCTCGACGCTACGGTATGCGTGGCCGAGGCCGCGAGCTTGTGCCGCGCGTGTCTATGGGCTGGGGCGGGGCAGGGTGGTCTCTCTTTAGTGCCACCCAGGGACCCAGGCCCACTGGGCAGGAGGGCGCCAGGGGACAGCCGCCACGCCCCCCGCGCCACTCCCCGGAGACCCGGGGTGGGTCTCCTCCCCTTCCTTGGCTCTGGGAGGAATGAGGGGCGGCATAGAAATCGGGGCGCATGCGGGAGAGAGGAGGTTGGGGAGGTGGGAGGGTGCATTGGTGGAGGTGGCGCAGTCCCCGGGCTGGGTGACGTTGAAGGGGGTTGGGGGATGGATCGGAAGGATGGGAGACCTGGGAGGTGGGATGCGTGGGGCGGGGTCCGGAGGGTGCAGATGGCTGGAGAGAGGCGGGCGACCCCGTCCCCGCGCCCCTTGCCACGGGTCCCGGGGCCAGCCTGCCCCGCCCGGCGCACCTGTACCCACCTGCACGGCGCTCAGGCCCGAACCGGGCGGTGGTAGCTGGCGCGGCGAGCGCAGCCCCTCGCCGCATCCTCCGGCCGCCCCGTCCCTGCCCGAGCCGCCACCGCCTTAAAATGGACAGAAGAAAGCGGCAGAGCCCTGAATGCAGGAACCGCGGGAGCAAAGGGCGGCCCGGCGGCTCCGGGTGCAGGGCTAGCGGTGCAGCTCCCGCGACCGGCCGGCGCGCCCACCCCCGCCCCCCGGAGCGCCCTCCGATTGGTCCGGCTGCCCGCCAGTCAGGGAGCCGGCCCGGAGTTCACCCCGCCCCCGCCCCGCCCTAGGACGAGCTGAGAGCGGTCCTGCAGGAAGCCGGGCATGCGTAGTGAGCCCGCGGGGGGACGGGGTAAGGGGGTGGAGGTAGGGGTGGGGGGAAGGGCTGGGGTCCCTAGTCCACAAGACCCCCGCCACACGAGGTCTTGGGCTGGCCGCTAGATGGTCATCGATCTCGAATCCGGACCCATTCCCGAGATGCTTGTCCTTGTCCTCTGCGAATTCATCCCGTGGGGGAGGTGACGGTGACAAGGGACTGGCCATCAGTGGTGTTTGGGATCAGGGAGACAGAGCCTGGGGTATTGTCATTACCCTCTTACAGCTGGGAACCTGAGGTCGGAGGTCAAAGGTTCAGGGACACAGTGTGACAGAGCCAGGATTCGAACCAGGAGTTCTGAGCTCCAGCCTTCCTAGCACTGGACATACCCGGAGGTTGGGTGGACACTGTGACGTGACCTCAGCAGAGAAGGGGGGCAAGGAGAGGAGTTAACGAGGCAAAGACTGCTTCAGTCCCTCAATGCCAGCATTCATTGAGCACCTACTGTGTACCAGGTGGTCATTGAGCTGGGAAACAGCAGTGGGCAGGAGAGGGAGCTCCTGGTCCAGCCAGGAGATCTGCTGGGAAGACCCCTGGCTGCCGGAAGTGCTGCAGATTCATTGTGGGCTTCTGAGAGCAAGTGGGGGTGTGGCTAACGGTGCGGCGGATTGGGGGTGGGCACAGGCCTTAAAGAAGTTGATTCAAACACGTCTCACCAGGGAAGGTGGTCTGCCTGTCACAGCTACATTTTATAAATGTGTCCAAGCCTCACTGGCTTTCTTCACACTACACCCTCTACCCCCACCCCCACCCCCACTATGTGGTCACTCAGAAACCCACTCTGATGCAGGCTCCATAGTTCCGGCGCACAACCAGAGCGGCTGTCAAAATGCCCACCTGCAAAAGACAAGCATCACATCCCAGAGTGAGTTTGCCGCCGCCACGCCTGACTTCCGCGGGTGTTGTTGAGTGCCCTCAAGTCGGTTCCAGTTCATAAGGAGTCCTGGTGTGGCGCTGCGGGTAAATGCGCGGGACTGCAAGGTCGGCGGTTCAAGTTCACCAGCTGCTCCTCGGAAACCCTATACAGGGTGCCTGTGAGTCGGAACTGACTCCAAGGCTCTTAACAACAACAATAGGGTTTCTGAGGAATGACTGGTGAACTTAAACTGCCGACCTTGAGGACCAGTGCTTATCCTTCACACACACACACTCACACTCACACACACACACACACACACACACACACACACACACGGGTTTGGTGTTGTTAAATGCCATCGAATACGTTCCAACTCATAGCGATCCTGTACAGCGCTTCCAAGGAGCGTCTGGTGAGCTTGAACCCACAGCACTCTGAGCCCCAGCAGGAAGGCTACCTGGTGGAGAGTGGATCTAAGAAGGGGGCGGGCTCGCGGAGGTGGGTGGGCGTGGCTCTGAGCCAGAGCGGGACTTTGGATGGCTTGGTGAGCCTGGGAAGAGGCCCAGGTTTGTGAGTCTCAGTCTGAAGGCAGTGCGGATACCTTCTGAGGCTCTAAGACAGAATGTGTCCCTGCCTCTCCCAGCCTCTGGTGGCTCCAGGTGTTCCTCAGCTTGCAGCTGCACCTAAACATGGCGTCCTTCCTCACTCTCCAGTCTGTATCTTCTCTCCTTTTTGATGGGAACGCCACTCACAGAGGCCACCGCACGTCTGCCCATTTGTATGAATCAAGGAAAATTGGAAGTTGTGAAAAATGAAAGGGAATGCTTGATAGTCAGTATCCTAGGCATTTGTGAGCGGAAATGGACTGATACTGGCCATTTTAAATCAGACGATCCTATGGTCTGTTGTTCTGGGGTTGACACGTTGAAGAGTAATGGTATCGCATTCGTGGTCAAAGAGAACATTTCAAGATCTGTCTTGAAATACAACACCACCAGATGGGATAATATCCATTTGACTACAAAGAATGACCAGTTAATATGATTACTAGTCAAATTTATGTACCAACCAAAAAGTGAAGAAATGGAAGCTCTGCCAACTTCTGTAGTTTGGTATTGAGCAAACATGCAATCAGATGCTTTGGTAATTACTGGTGATTGGAATGTGAATGCTGGAAACAAAGACGGGTCAGTAGTTGGAAAACAAGGCTACAGTGATAAAAAGGATGCCAGCAATCACATGATAGAATTTTGCAAGACTAATGTAAATACCTTTTTTCAGTAGTATTAATGGTAACTGTAAAGAAAACACAAATCCTCACCACTGGACCAATAAACAACATTATCAATGGAGAAAAGATTGAAGTTATCAAAGACTTCATTTTTCTTGGATCAACCATCAACATTCATGGAAGCAGAAGACA